ACTAATTCTATGAATTTAAATAGACATTAAAATTAATCTTACATAATCAACTATTGAGGGCTATATGTTTTAACAGATCTATTTTTCATAGTAATTGATGATTCTTCCATTTATTATATAAATATATGTGTGCATACATATGAAAATATATAATTGATTACTGGTTTGTTATACCTATTCAATATATATTTAAGGACTATAAAATCATTTATTGACATTTTTCAACAACCTCATATTCAATTATTGTAACATTGCAATTTGAAATTTTACCCCTACCTAAATAATGTTGTACATGATTTCAAGAAAGATAGAAATTGATGGAAGAAATAAGAGCTGCCAGCTTTGTATAAGGATTTCTGAATAGTTAACATAAGTAAACTCTCACCTTTAAATATTTAGTTTTAGGTCTTTAGAAAACTGATAGTATAGACTGATATCAAAGAGAAGCTCTTGAATCAAATTTTGCGTGTCCTATCAAAATAACAATGAAAACATTGTACATAATAGACTATAAAGACATATATAAATATATAGAATTATATAACATAAAGAGATGTAAAGAAACTGTTTCCAGAATCTTAGAAAGATAATCACAATCTATAAGGTTAGTGAGGCTAGATGAGGAAAATAAATAATGATTGATGATTCTCTTTTATATATGAAAAATACATTGACTTTCAATTACAAAGAAATAGGCACTTTTTCCCAGTATTGGTCCCCTGAACGGGGATCATGAGGATCAAAACTTATGTATAATCCTTTTCTACAAAGATACCCCCTTTGATGTTTGTTCTGATACTAGTATATCTATTCAATACATGAACCCCTTGTATTGTAACAGGGCTAGGAGGGAAAGGAGACAATATATGGGTATTATTTTGTATATATTTTAATTTGGAAATATGCCTTATAAGTAAATCATTTTAGTTAGTGTCAGAGATGGAAAAACTAAGTGAGAAAGGTCCATGTTTAGGACTTATTTAAACATGTTGGCTAATGAGGTATTATTGGGGTAGGGGGCAGGTAGAATTTGATAGTATCATAAACAAATGGTGACATTTTCAGTCAATATGTTCTTAAAACACTAGAAACTAAAATAAACATTTCCACATTAGTATGGGGAAATGGCATAATATACAGCATGAACTTGAGCTATAAGAAAGCCTATGGGAAACCACACCATCCTAACACACAAACGCATGCAATAACACTTTCAGCTGAGGGAAAAACACACAAAACCAAACAAAATAAAAACACCAAAGCACAACAGAGAGTCTGTGAACAATGTAGCAAGTCAGATAAAGAGAGGGCTTTATGTGGGAAAGAGCAATCAAACTTCTGTAAGAGACAGAAGAGCACTTGAGTCTCAACACATCTCACAATCTGGTGAACTTCTTAATACATGGGAAAAGGGGAAAAAAGACAAATTTTATAGAGAATGAATCTGTATCATTGGCAAACAAAAGTATTCTTCTCAAAAACAAACTTAAAAATGAAAAAATAAAAAAAAAAATCTTCAAAACTAGTTACAAAGTAGTGGACTTATATAAGTATTTAAAAAGAAGTGCAGATGAATTATGGACCTGTGTCCATTCATTGTCTAAGAAAATTGATAAAAATAATGCCTTTTGCAAAGGCTGTTCTAGACACTGATGATATAGTAATGAATTAAAAAGTACCTAACCTTGTAGAAATGTTAGCAGAGGACAAATAGTCATCAACAACAACAAACAAGTAAAGTGGCAGACAATTCCAAAACTTACTATAAATTTACATTGATCAAGACTCGTGTTTTTGGAAAAAGAATACACATCTATTAAATCAAGTACAGAATTTTATCCACAAAAATGTAGTGAACTAATATTTGATAATAAGGCAAAGGCAATTCAGTGGAGGAAAGATAGCTTTCTCAACAAAATGCACTCTAGTTAATAAAGTTGATTCCCACAAGGATATAGGTTAACAAGTCTCCTGCTGCTATACATGTGTACTGAAATTGAATAATTAAGTAAATAGATGACGGTATTGGGAGTCCGGCTTCTTACCATAGTTACGGGAATTTACAGATAAGCAAAGGGAGAAGGGTGAAATTCATGGGGTAATGGATTAGAATTAGAGGCATTAAGAAAAACTTGTATACTTTGATATAGTTACAGATAGATGGCTACATATTGAAATATTTATAGATATGTGCATATATACAAGTTTGTATACCAGCAAAGATGGCTTAGCAGCATTGCCACCCAGTACCAATAAACCTAGCCCCCAAATATTGGTTTCTAATACAGTTTTCCAACAAAGTGAACCAGAGATCCTTGGGGGAAATAGTTGATTCTAGGACTAGATTAAAAAACATGCAAGATGAGTCGGGACCAACTTGCAAGGCCAGAAAGTAAAGGCATACTTAACAAACACCCAAACACCAAAAACATTATTACATTGACAGGGGTATGTCAAAAGCTCACAGAACAAAACAAAAAAAGCTCTCAATGGCCAAAACTGGATTAATTTGAGCAAGAAACTAAAATATTACATTATAATTACATGGGTAAAATAAATATCCATACATTCAGATTGATGAATAAATGATTCAATCAATGCGCGATTGAGGACGAGAAGACAAATCTGCCTTAATATGAATTCCAAATAATTTATATAGAAACTCTGCCCTCAAGCAGGAAGATTCTATATTCCCACTACGTAAGTGTGTGATGTACATAGTAACTTCCTTCCAAAAAGTATAGTATAAAAATTGGAAGAAACAAGTATTTTTTTAACTTTATTAATTTATTTTGAGAGGGGGAGGGGCAGAGAGAGAAGGAGAGAGAGAGTATCTCAAACAGGCTTGCACTGCCAGCACAGAGTCTGACGCAGGGCTCAAACCCACCAACTCTGAGATCATGATCTGAGCCAAAATCAAGAGTTAGACTCTTTACCGACTGAGCCACCCAATTGCCCCAGGGGGAACAAATATTTTTATTTTATTTTATTTTATTATTATTTATTATTTATGTATTTTTTTGTGTGTGTAGAAACCTAAGAAACACTAAGTCAGGTGATCAAGGTCAATATCAACAATGTTAAATCAAGCTTATATTAAGTATCCTTGATACAATATCAGGAAAATGGCACTTTACCTCCATGGTCTTCTCCTCCAAGCCAAACTCAGACTACTCTGAGAACATTAGACAGATCCCAATAGAAGGACACCCAACATAATGCCTGGCCAGTTCTCCCCAAAAACTATCTAGATCACCAAAAGCAAGAGATGTCTGAGAAACTTTCTTTGCCAAGAGAAACCTAAGAAGACATGACTACTAATGAAACATAATATCCTGGATGGGATTCTGAAACAGAAAAATTATTAGATACAAAGGAAATCTTAAACTATAGACTTCAATTAATAGCAACATATCAATAGAGGTTTGTTAATTATAAAAAATACATATTATACTAACATCATATGTTGATATTAAATGAAACTAGGTGAAAGATGTATTGGAACATTTTGTTCTATGTTCCTTATTTTTCTGTGAATCTAAAGCTATCCTAAAAATAAAGTCAAAGAAAAATAAAGTAAGGTTAAGGGATAGAGGGGATAAGTTATGTGTGTCGGGGGAGGTGCTGTTATTTTTGATAATATGATCCAAGAGGGGGGACTTTCAATTACGTTGATATCTGAGCACAAAATTGAAGGGATTTAGGGGGATAGTTAGGAGGATTTCAGTGGGAACATTGTTCCAGAGAAAGGAACTAACAACAGGCAAACACTTAGCATTGAAGAGATGAGGGAAGAAAGCATGTTCATGCTAGAAGAGGCCTTCAGATCATAGTTTTAAAAGACATAAGTGTAATTACAGCTGAGTGAACAAGGGAACAAGAAAATCATGCAACTTACATGCAATATAATGGTATCATTAAGTCATCACAAAAATCTACCTATTACTTTAACCAAATATATTCAAAATGCTTACTCTATTTCTAGATATTTTTCTAGGTGACGAGAATAGCAGACTCGTTGAGGAGTTTGCATTCTAGGAATATAATCTACTGACATAAACGGAGTTTATTTATGAAGCACCCCTGAAGAGATCACTGACATTAGAAATAATTTTTTCTTTATTTCCTGCATCCAAAACCTGTTTCTACTGGTACTGGGGTTTTGTTGTTATTTGTTTTGTTTCCTAGATTCCACATATAAGTGAAATCACACAGCATTTTTGTCTTTCTCTGTCCAACTTATTTCACTTAGTAAAAATCCTTCTGTGTCCACCCATGTTGTCACAAATGGCATGCTTCCATTTTTTTATGGCTTAGTAATGTTCCATTATGTATGGATATGTGTGTGTGTGTGTGTGTGTGTGTGTATGTTTGTGTGTGTGTGTGTGTGAGAGAGAGAGAGATCACATCTTGAATTTATTGAATAATATTTAATCTATTGGGAAAATGAAAGAACAACTTATTTTTATATCTCAAATTTTTAATTAGTAGAGAAAGGTATAAGCGAATTTCCTGTCTGTGGTTTCATGTCAGTTTCCAGTGACAGAAAAGAACATCAGAGTCTGTCAGATGCAAATTAATGAGGGTTTCACATGCCATCAGCCTACACTAAGTATTTCTCACTTAAGAAAGAGCACATAGTGCTAAAATTGTCCATATTTAAAACTGTATTTGATTTGACAGAGCTTCTTTCCTGAGGTAGGTCTAGAAAGCAGTAGTTTGGACAACACTGTTGGCCTGCTTATGTCTTAGAGGGGGAGGGGTGAAATGGGGATAAGTCGGTGCAGGGGCAGGATGTGCTTGGCAATATTGAGGAGAGGCAGGGAAATTAAATAGTGTGGAAGAGCAAATTATAATACAAATATACAAACATTTATAATAATTAACACAATAGAGACATAGATAAGCTAATATTTTAAATATTTAACGTTTTAAAAGTTTTAATTAAATATTTCAAATATTCAAGAGTATTATGGATTTCACTTTATTATTATTGTTTTTTAAATATAGAACGGTTAATGAATTTGTGTTTCCTCCCTGCATGGGAGCCATGCTAGTCTTCTCTGTATCGTTCTAATTTTAGTATATGTGCTGCCAAGGCAAGCACAAGAGAATATTATGGATTTTTAACAGGAATTTCAGTCTTTTTGTTTCATGAAATTTTTGTCAATCTAATTACAGAATAATGTTTTCAAAGCATGAATTAAGATATAAGTATTTAAAAAGAAATCAATTTTATTAAAATACAGCTACCAAAATATTTTAAAAACTGATTTTGGCTAAATAATATATATGCTTCTTGATTAATGCAATAAATAACAAGACCCAGCAGCAGATCTGATTAGTACCATATTTCAAAGAAAAAAATGAACATACAAGTTACTTAGTATGATATTTAATTTCTACTGATGATAAAGTCACAGATACCTCTAATATTTCTGTGTATTGATGTCCATAAACATAATTGAGAGAGATGCTAAACTTCAATTAGAGAATAGTACAAATATTGATGTAGCATTTTTTCAGTTTAAGTATGTAAACTCTGGGCTGTCTGGGTGGCTCAGTCAGTTAGGTGTCCAACTTTGTCTCAGGTCATGATCTCATGGTTCATGGGTTTGGGCCCCGCGTCGGGCTCTGTGCTGACAAACAGCTCAGAGCCTGGAGCCTGTTTCGAATTCTGCGTCTCCCTCTTTCTCTGACCCTCCCCTGCTCACGCTGCCTCTCTCTCTCTCTCTCAGAAATAAATAAAACATTAAAAAATTTTTAAATATATAAACTCTATGTTAAGATTTCTGAGAACTAGTTACAAATAAAAAGACAAATTTTGAAGAACACGTAATTTTACAATGATACTAGGTAGAAGCCTGGAATGAATAATAAACTTATGGGGAGGACATATGGATTAAAATTCTGAGTTTGTCAGTCTCTTAATGAGCTGAGGCAAGTTTATTAACTAGGTTTTATTTTCATTATATCTGGAATGGGAATCATAAGCTTATCTTATAAGGAGATAAAATGATTAAATAAAATCATGTGTATAAAAAGAATCTGATATATTATAGATATATAATATATAATTATAGTCCTCCTTTCCTTCAAGCTGAAACTATTGATTAGTTCATTCAATAATTATATTCTGTTAATGCGCAGTAAAACAATATGCATTTGCCTAGGAAACTATAAATGAGATTTGAGAGGGTCATTGTAAACCATTACATTAACCATTTTAAAGGCATAAGTACATCCATGTTTATTCTAAGTGTTAATCTGGACTCTCTAGTAGACACTATTGTGTTCCACACACTTTCTATTTACTAAGCCAATGTACTTAATAGCCAGCTGTTGTTGGGTTTGGCTGCTAACTGCTTATAGCGAACTCCTTCTGAGAAATTTTTCTGGACTGATGAGAACCACCAACCTAGGGACTTATCCACTCACTACTATGATCAGTAACAATGAAGTGCAAATAGGTCCTTTGCCTCAAGGTGAGTCAACTCTATTCCAGAGACTTCTCTCTGTGAATCAGGCAGGGCTATACTCAATCTGAGAATATGTCTCTGTGTTCTTTCCTTTTTCTGCTTTATTCCCTTTTTTACAGTTTTCTCCTGAGAAGCACATTTTCAATCAATCACCTATACTCAAATTCAAGTCTTAGACTGGTCCCAGGGAAACATGTAAGATTGCACATATATAGTCTGAAAGAACTCCTACTCTGTTAGAAGTGAGCCATTCGATTATTTTTCATATATTTATTTGGTGCCTACTTTTGCCAGGTGCGTAGCACACTTTAGATGCTTAAGATGCAAACAAAGGCTTCCGGCCTTGTGTAACTTACATTCAAGCAGGAAGATAAACATATTTCATAATAAATATGAAAATAGTACAGAGAATGTATTCAGTGCTATTGAAAAATAGTGGAGCAATATAGGGGCATCTGAATATAGGGTCTGGGTAAGGGAAGAGAAGTGAAATTCCAGGTCGGGCTCATTAGGGAAGTGTTATTTGAATAAAAATTTGAAGTAAGGAGAACTATACCAGGTAGATATGTGAGGGATAATATTTTCAGCCAGAGTAAAATCCAAGGTCCTACAAGTGCCTGGCTTGTTTTAGTTGTGTCTGAAAAACCTAAGTGAAGGGGAGAGTATAGGAAGAGAGGACAGAAAGGAAAGTATATTAAGAGGTAGTGACATCAAGCCAAGTGATCAAAAATACGGGCACTGGAAATTTACCAGTAGATTGAAACTATAACTTTCACTATGTAATTAATATATTGCAATGCTTTTGTGAATATTTATTATTTATTTATTTTTTTTACCTGGATATTCAAATGGCCTTTAAATATTCAAATGGTCAAACTTTTAAATCCTAGAATAAGCTACAATCTTTGTTAGCGACAAGTCAATTTGCAAATATTCTTATATCTGTCTTGATTTCACTTTTCTGTGAAGTTGGCCTGGAATTGTACAAATTTTAAGACTCAGACTATTACAACTTGTTGTTTGAAAGCATGAACTTTGGAACTTGGATGCCTAGTTTCGAATCACAGCTCTACTCTTCCTAGGCAGATGACCTTGAACTTGTTATTTTACTATGGTTCTCACTTTCCTTCCTGTGTATGTGGTATTATTGTGTTTTTTTATGGTGCTTTGAGTTAAATTAATTGATACACATAAACTAAATAGAATAGTTTCTGAATAGAATAGTTTGAATGGGCTATTTAAAGGATTGGTAACTGCATATTAAAATAATAATATGTTTCTCACACACATAGCATGTTTAACATAGATCAGTTAGTGAATATTGTTCCGCCTTATCTTTTTTATTTTCTCAAGATCTCATTTTCAATTCAGCCACTTACACCAGAAATTCTTTTATTTTTTATTTTAATTCCAGTATAGTTTACGTAGTGTTGAATTAGTTTCAGGTGTACATTACAGTGATTCAACAGTTCTATATATTACTCAGTGCTCATCAAGAGAAGTGTTCTTAATCCCCTTCACCTATTGTACCCCCACCCTCCTCTCCTCTGGTAACCATCTATTTGTTCTTTATAGTTAAGAGTCTGTTTTTTGGTTTCTCTCTCTCTCTTTTTTCCCTTTATTTTTCTTAAATTCCTTATATGAGTGAAATTATATGGTATTTGTCTTTCTCTGACTGGCTTAATATGCTTAGCAGAATATTCTCTAGATCCATGCAGTTGTTGCAAATGGCATGATTTCACATTTTTTATGGCTGAATAATATATATATTTATTATTATTATTATTATATGTGCATTCATCTATCAATGGATATTGGGCTGCCTCCATAATTTGGCTAATGTAAATAAGGCTGCAATAAACAAGGTACACATGTACTTTCAAATTAGTGTTTTCACACTCTTTGGATAATACCTAGTACTGTGATTACTGGATCATATGGTAGTTTTATTTTTAATTCTTTGAGAAACATCCATACTGTTTTCCACAGTGATTATGCCAGTTTTCATTCCCATACAGTGCACAAGGGTTCATTTTTCTCTACATCCTCACCAGCACTTGTTTCCTGTTTTTTATTTTAGCCATCTGACAGATAGGAGATGGCATGTCATTGTGGTTTTGATTTGCATTTCCCTGATGATGAGTAATGTTGAGCATCTTTTCATGTAACTGTTGGTCATCTGTATGTCTTCTTGGGAGAAATGGCTATTTATGTCTTCTGCCCATTTAAATTAGATTATTGGGGGGAGGGTGGTGTTGAGTTATAAAAGTTCTTTATATATTTTGGATACTAACCTTTTATAAAATATGTCATTTGCAAGTATCTTATCCCATTCAGTAGGCCATCTTTTAGTTTTGTTGATGACTCCACTATATCTTTATCAGAAATTCAGGCTAAAGGAGAGAGACATGCTTCACTCTCTACTTCCACCTTTACCAAGGTAGGAAAAGATAACTTTGCAGTTGACATTCAGTCTTTAACATCTCCACACACATCAATTACACTCCCTTTTCATTGACCAAATCAGGTGAATTTGTCTAACTTCAAACGTGCAGGTGAAATACCTTCCTCCAAACACTCAGAAGTTAGAAACATTTGGTAAATAACCTAGATGATTATGACAATTGTTATCAAATATGAGGCTGATTCTTCCTCCTGGAGAAAAATATGCAAAGTATAACTCACAAATTCCATCTAAACGTCATCAAGTGTGGAAGAAATATAGCATGCAGTAGTTTCTACATCAAATCTACACAAGGCTTCTCATGACCAGAGTTTAAAAGATAGCATGTGACACAGTAGCAGCATAAGTGCAATAAGTTTTCTCCCAAAAATGATGGCTATTTTGCAATCTGCTGCATGTCCTACTATTCTGACAGTGGAGAATTAAGCCATAATTAGAACTTATTCTTCAATTTTGTCTCTTGAGAGGATCTCCCTTATCTACTATTCTTTGTGCCCCTTCACTTTCTGGAATGCTTTCATATTTGTTGACCTCATAGACCACTACTGAATAAGGCAGTGGATAGTATCACTCTTTGCAAGATGAGCAAATTTCTTAGCCAGCTTACTGGCCATGCAAGTTGATGGTCCCAGATTCATCTTAACCTCTCTGAGACCCAAATTTTTGGTTCTGGCCTTGAGAGACAGTTCTTAAAAACTAAATCCTCTTTTTCTATTTGGCTCTAGTTAGTTTCCTGTGTCAAGAGTCACTCCATAGACATATTTTCTGTTTAAACATACTTCTTAGATTTTCTATATTTATTTATTTTCTTACCACTGATCCACAGGTCTTGCTGTATCTACTTCATTATAGGTTTCTTAATCTTACTAGGTTTTACTGGACAAACCACAGTTTCAATGTCTTTAACATGAGAAAAATTTATCTGAGTATAAGGATTTATTGAGAATCAAACACTTAACTGGGTCCTTAATTTTGTTGGCATTATCCGTTCAAGAGTTTTAAAATAGCCATGATGGTCATTCTCTTGATTTACTTTCTGCTATAAAAGTTTCAATCATCCATTTTCACATCAAACTATTATTTATTTTTAACAAGGAGCATTGAAAAAGTTAGTTCTGCCTCTCAACTTTTCAGTCCATTTATGTCATTTGCATTTCTTCACAT